ACTCCACCCCAAACATTTGGAGAAAAAGGTAAGAAATCTCTTCAATCCTCATCTGAAGCTAACGATGCAAAGAGAAACTAGAGCTAGCTAGACGCTGGATTATTCAATGTTTTATGTGGAGCGAATGTACCATACTCCAGCTCTTCTAATCGGCATAAAATCTGTTCAGATTTATAGACAGCTTCTTTAATTTATCAATATATGGATAAAAGCTGAAATCAGCTTTTAATAGGAAAAACTTTTTAGGCGTTTCTGTCGTTTATTCAGGCTGCAAGAGAAAGCTAAACGTTCAACAAACGACAGGATGGTGGATGTAGACAGCATTTCGGGAATTTCAGCGTTAAAGTAGGGATAAATATTCTCTAAGGAATGAACTGTTTATTGAAAATAGTCCTTAAAATTAGAATTTCTGAAGAGAAACTGGAATTGGCTAAAATTAGCATTAGCGAGTCAAATCTGTACAAAACCAAAGATCGCACACTAGCCTCAAAATTCTGCTTGTTGGCATCTCTGTGTAAAACTGATAACAATAACCCAACATATTTACCATCAACACAATCCATTACGACACAATGTCCAATTTAGCCTTTAAAAAGCACAGGTAAACCGAGATTATTTGTGAGAAGTCACTGCATCACTACAAATAATCAAAGTTGAGAAATGCAGCTCTCCAGTGGGAGAGTATATCCAGGGAAACCCACATGGGTCAGACGGATTACGGCGGCAGGGCGTGGCGGCCCGAGGCCAGTCTGGTGGATTATTGGTCCTAATTGGGTCAGTCGTACATGTGTGAACAGGATTCATCACACCAATGTTTATCCCTCAAACAAATATCTCCCTGAACGGTCCCACTAGTATTCCTTTCAATGTCAATACCTCATAAATAGCAGATAATAGAGTCATTTCTGCTGCCTGTTCGTATGCGTTAACAGACAGCGTTTACTCCCGGTGGGGATTTTCTAATGTCACCAACCACTTAGCTCTCACTGAGAGGACACTCGGCAGAACTACATCTGAAAGGTGAAGGTTTAATTGATGTGGTGACCTTCTGGTTGCTTTATCAGCTTGTCACTTTGTTTACACTTCAACACTGTGCATAATACTGAACAGCATTCAGTTCGTGAACATGTGAAAAAGGCTTCGCCGTCCATCTGAGTCGTGGACCTGTAATCAGAATTTTTTAGAACCAGCATAGTTCACATAACAAGATGGAGACGAGCGTAAATATCATGAACTGAATGAATGAATGCTGTGGACGTGGTGGAATTATTTAACATTTGAAACACTGATGCAGATCAGAATAACTGGCTGCTACATCTCTCCTTTATAAGCACATTAGCTCTGGTATGTTTCATGGCCATTACTGAAAGAGGGCCTTTGCTTATTTCCAGGCTGGCTGCAGAGGCCGCGCACGCTGGATAATCAATTTGCTGCTACTCTGCATGCACCCAATCCCTGACAACCCTCTGTGCATTGTGAAAAGACGTGGGGGACGGAGGGGAAGACGGCTCGTCCTGCTCTTCCTGCCCCCCAGCTCTCTCTTGCTCTGTGCTGTCGACACAAGCACACGGATGGACACATATGCCCTTGAGCAACCACAATAGGGGGAGTGTCATGGCCCCTCGCAAACATCTGCCAAACACCTAAACGCTGACCAAGCAACTCGATGAAAAATGCCAGACTGCTTGCAGTCCTGTTTAAGCCCAGAAAACCCTTGAAAAATAGCATGAAAATGCATGCTAAAAGCAGCATTTGGTTAGCTCTTTCTAACTAAATATTGAGCTAATTTATACAAAACGCAAGATACAAATTGCTTAAGCATGTTTTATTACATTGAGCAGATATGACTCAAGAATTACCTCACACTAATGTGATTTATTTTTTAGTCAAGCACAAAATCAACCAGCCAGTGATTAAAATCAGAGATTTTTCGCACAGTGCTGTTCAATGATCCAGAGGACAAGTACAAGAAATAGAGTTTTTCCTCTCCATCCTTTAAATGTATCAAATTAGAGTTTCCTTTAGACATCAATTAAGGCTCAAAACAAAATCTGTAGGTCAGATCCAAAATATCAGAATCAGCCAGTAAAACAAAAAAAAACAAACAAAAAAAAAAAAACAGATTTTCGCCTGCACTTCTGATGACATTTGGGTGTTACACACTACAGACCCAAACAGAGAAGCACAAAGGAATCTGGTGCTGACCAGAAACGTCCAATTAATGGATTGATCAGTCTTGACCAATGACCAGATGGTTGAAACTTCAAGAACTTAATTCCAAAGAATTTACTTTAAAAGGCAAATAATTGTTCCTCTTCAAGTCAAGACTTGTCAGCTGTCATGATCCGTGGTTTTCTGTGTGTTTTTGAGTTTTTCAATGTGTTCCTGTTTCCCTGTGAGTCTCTGTCCTGTCCTCCCCGTTGATTGTCTCCCAGGTGTGTCTACTTACCTGATTACCCTCCATGTGTATTTAAGCCCACCTGTGTCTGTGTTCTTCGTCGGGTCCTTGTCGTTAATCTGTGTCTAAGTTGTCCATGTCTAAGTCACGTTTGTTTTCGCTCCAGTAGAACTGTGAAGTCCTGGATTGCGTTAGCTCTCGTTTTTGTCCTGTGTATCAGCTGCTACCGGTATTTGGCTGTGTGCCTGTCTTTCTGCCGTGCTGCCTGTTTTTGGACTGAGAGCTTCATCATTAAATTCATTATTTTCACCATAACCTGGGTTCCCTGCGTCTCTCCTCACCACCATCAACCACACTCATGACATCAGCAATTCATTTGGACTCAGAGAGAGAGTGAGATGTTTAACAGATAACAGAAAGGGTGAATGAAAAAGACTGGAAATGGACGTAACCTCATAAACTAATTCAAAGGTGGGCATCCTTAATCATTCTGCATTGACAGTGTTTTCTTCTACAAAATCGCGTAAAGTTCATATTGGTTTATCCGTCATGTGATCAGTCATGAGGAGATTTTTTTTTCACCTCTAATTGGAAATTATTCAGATAAGTCACGTCCGTGAGATAAGAAAATAAGACAAGGCAATGTTATGAAAACATGAAGAGAGAGAGAAAAAAAGTATTTCCTGGAGTCTCAAACAGGCCATTATGAATTTGAGACTAAAACCACGCTAGCCGACTCTGCTAAATACGACAAGTCAGGATGTTTGAGGCGATCCGCTAGAGAAGAAAGGTAGTGTACATCAAATCACCGTAAATGTAATAACCCCTACATGTTTGATCCAGCAGGTGCAGTTAAAACTCTCAGCACCCTAATAGGACGGCGTTCTCAGCATACCATCTGCAATGAAGACCTGATGAAAGAAGAGCATGGCTCCCTGCCAGCCTCTCTCTCTGCTCTGCAATCTGGCCATGTGATGAGGAGGTAGAGCAGGCGGTGCTGCAGCCTACTCCTCTCCCTTACTTCCACGCTCGCTGACTAACCCCCACCTTGAAAAACGCTGCATATGCCACTGCAGTTCTGCCAGAAACCACAAGTTTCCCCTCCAGCTCCTTTTCGGGTGACATTGGAATGATGAAAACCCGAGGATATGGAGTAAAAAAAGAAAAAAAAAGAAAAAAAGAAAAAAGTACTAGGGATTTAACAAATCCTCTTTTTGGTAGACTGCGAGAGATAAAGAGCAAGTGAGGCACATCTAGAAGAGACACTTGATCTTATAGAAGATTCATACAAGCTTAGACTAATGAGGCTGATAAGACTGACAGGAGAAGAGCTGAGGAAAGCCAGAGAGACTGCAAGAAAAACAAGTTTCCTCCGTCAGACGTTGTCGTGTTACTGGGTCATTAGCTGGTTCTGTTAGCGTCAGGAGGGGGGACGGAGTTAATCATCGGATCGAAGCAGGACACACACCACTGTCATGACTAAGGAGGCAGCTAATACTTCACAGCACCTGATGACTCAGGGTCACAAATAAGCAGGCTGATCACATGACGTTTAAAAAGAACATTCTTTTAAGACACACTTTATATCCACAAGGATGCCTCAGTTAAAATATTTAACCTATTCAGTTAAAACATTTTTAATTTGCAGCATCTCGATCTGGCATGAGTTATTTTTATTAGCCACTGTTACAAACCCTGTGGCTTGTTTCAACCCGTCTTCTTCATGTTTAAAAGTCCTGTGGCCTAGAGGCCTATAAAAAAATCAAAACTTTGGCTTCAGTACATCACAACCTTACTTACTCATCTCTTGAACGTGTTGTCAAAGGACATGAGAAAAAAAAACTAACAACAAAAGGGCATTACAAGTTAATAATTAATAGAAATTCAGAGATGGCTTTTCCTCGCGATACAGATTTCCATTTTTTTTGACGTCTGATTTGCACATTTTAGATTGCACCAATTCAGGGTGTTTTTTAAATTTATTTTAAAAGAACACACACAAAAAATGACAATGCACTTTGAGTTTCTTAACTAACTTTTGTCGACTGAATGTTGCATCCCTAATAAATATGTCAATAAATTGCTTTGGTTTTTTGGAAAAATGGTAGAAAAAAAAAGAAAACCACGTGAAGTAAAAAGTTCACCAAGTGAATGAATAACTTTAATCTATAACATTTTATTTGCATCGAGAAGGTGCAACGCAAACTGTAAGTGCATGCCCAGAGATAGTGCAATCATAAACTACAGAGCCATAACAATGTCTGTGATTAAGCCCTAATGAACTGGGCGGTGATTGCAGGTCAGTCTTTAAAGTGACCTCTGGGTTTCACCCCCATCAGGAACCAACTGTGGATTTCTCCCACAGACTCCTCAGGCATGTAGGCCACATTCAGAGGGGGAGGGATTCCTCTCTGCAAGCCTTTTATTCCCTTTCAGTCTGTTTTGCCTTAACCGTCCACCATTCAGTTTGCTCATTCTCCGGCTCTTTGCAAAAGACCTCCAGAAGAGAACGGCTCTTGGGAGGACGTGCAGACAAACCTGCATGAACTCAAAGACGTGGTTTGTGAGGATGCTCTCATGTGTGTGCCAGTAGATTGCTTACTTGTAGTGTTGCCTTGCATCTGAATGATGCATTTTGACTCCTTGCTCGTTTCCCTGGAGTTGAAGGGTCGGACTCGAACAGCAACTTTTACAGACGCCCCAGACATTCTTGCTGCTCAGGTCGGACTCCCAAGTACGACTGCTTTTATATTCCTCCTGAAGAAAACACACAAAAAACACATCCGTCTAATCAAAAGTATTTTACCAAGATGCTACACAGAATCCACTTAATGCATAGGTCCTATATCAACCCTACAGGCACATAACATATAGTACGTATTATTTATCTGTCAGTTGTCGCATGTAACAGTTTTCCATTTTGTTTTCTGTGTAGAGTCAGTAGTCAGGGTTTATTGTTAAAGCTTTAGTACCCACAAACAACAACAAACAATCTATGTTTAACTTATTTGAAGATGAGTGCATTTTCTTTTTTCCCCAAATCAACCAAATAGTCTATTAGGTCGTGTTTTAAGGTAACTGTACATAAATGTCCAGATTTTTTATTTTTTTTTTTAATTTTTTTTTAAAAAAAAAAAAAAAAAAAAAAAAAGAAATCTAAGATGAACATCTTGTAAGTTTGAAGCAGAATCTTCTTTACTGCTGTTTTTAATGGTAAAAATGCATTCCACAGTAAAGAGCATTTGATTGAATCAAAGAACTGTAACAAGTTAAGAAGCCACATTTACACTGACTATGGAAAAAGACAGTCAGGGATTATTAAACATTTTATGGCAATACCTATAATAAAATTTTTGAATTAAGCAATTTCTTGTTATTTTTGAGCCAAACTGTTCCATTTTCTAACTTGCAAATAGTTATTACATCTTTAGGGATGTTCTCCCCCCTCTTACATGCAAAAGTGGACACCTAAACATAATTGTTTAATGGGCCTCATTCAATCTTGGGTCGCCCCTGTATCTATGAGTTTACTAGATTACAATCCGTGCTTCTTTCTGTTCGCTCTTAGTCCATTTCAGCTCTAGATTCCCAAATTGTCCCTTGTTTTTTCCATATTCTAGCAGTCAGCCATACTTGCTGAAGCATACGCCCATGAAATTCTATCTCCCCCTTTTTTCTTGCTGAGGGCTACCGCGGGACAACGAGCCCGGGGGCCCCGTCTGCTGCTGCATGCGACTCTGCACTGGTGCAAATGAAGAGCGTCTATTTCTAATACTTGAAAATTAAATTCGCCGATGTTAAGAAGTGGGCTAATCCTCGTCTGCTGAATGTTGTGGGAAGAAGAGTTAAGGCTCCCATTAGCAGCGTAGGCTGGGACGCACTGTTCACGTTTGTTCAGCAGGAAAGGTTAAAACCATTTAAATGGCTCCGACAACTGGAGTTTTAAACCATAATTGTAACATTTGTTCATTTGAACACTGCTAAGACATGCCGAAAGGTTTCTGGTTGGGGTTTCTATCAACATTAAGCGCTAGCAGCTAACCAACTGTGCATAAACGTAACCCCTTTGAACTATCAACATCATTTACTTTGCTTATTTCCTAAAAAATAAAAGTAAGCGTACATTCCGTGACATAAATATGTAACGGACACGCAGCTCTATGACTAATGTTGGCACCAACAGACAGCTGCTCGCCAGCAGAAATTAATCTGACATAACAACCATTAAGGTTATACATATAATGCATGTTCCCAGTCCGATCGTTCATACTCACGTTTGACGACTCTATCCAAGGCGGCACCACCGGACAGTGGGGAGAAATAACGTTAGCTTGCGGCGTCAGGATGTGTTGTTGGTGGTTTTTAATCAGAATCTGCACACACGTAAACTGCTACCATGCCCTCTTCCGTGGAAAACACCCATTATAGCGGTATCCTCCGCCGTATGGATATGTAAAGTACAAAATGTGAACAAGGTGACTCGGTGAAATAGCTTGTTTTTTTTTTCCCCGTAGCGACAGAAAAAAAGCGGCCACCCGTCTGCGCCCGAGCGAAAATGGAAATCGATGGATCGCCTTGATTTACCGAAGAGATTACGTCAACTCCCCTTCAGCGTGCTGACTGACAGGCCAACGGACCAATCAGCGCAGAGAAGTGGGTGACTAAGACATCAGGGAGCCAATGAAATCGGAAATCTGCGGTGTGGGTGGAGCCTCTCTCTCTCCATTTTTCTACCGTGACGCCACACTGCAGGATTTCTACCCCACCTCTCCCAGCGCCGCTGTCACTGTGTCGCTAGGGTCACCGCAAACCAGCGCCGCCTAGCGAGGATTTGAATGAACCTTTTTTAATGATAAAGGATGCGTCCTGCAAAACTATTTTTAACAATTAAGGAAACAAAAATGGCGGTTTATGGTGCAGTCCCTTTGTATGTTTTTATGTAATATCTGAATTTCTACAACAGAATAGCACCAGCGGTACAAAGGTTTTTGAATTCATTTTTTTTTTAAATATTTAAAAAAAAAATCAGCTGAATTTGTTTTACAAAATAAACAGTTTTTTTTCTTTGCAACAGGTAATTTTGTTCTTGAATCTTAAAATAGAGGGAAAATATTTATTTTCCTTAGTATTTATAAACAGTTTTACTGAGTACATGTAATTGGCAACGCATGTATATTTCATTCAGTATGAATGAAATACACGTTTGAGCTTTCTGAAGCTTATTTTAAGCCTCGGAAACAAGAACATAATGTAGCTTAGTGTAGTGTATTTATATTTGATGGAAAGTTCTGTGCTCAGACATGCTCATGGTAAATGTATCTAATTTCAAACTACACCAAAAACACCTTTGCTATTATTGAACCCCTGCCTTTAATTTGTCTGGTTTAATGTGTGAAGGTGGATGATTTAACAGAATCAGGTGCTCGTTACGGAGGGCAGATTCTGACGTAATTGACAACAAACAGAAATAAATGTTAGAACCTGTCCTCCTTACATCAGCTCTTCAAGTAAATTAAAAACCATTAATGTTCAGGAAAGCATTTCCAAAATTTGTACTACATTGTCAGGACTTGTATAATGTTTGTGCACACACACAAAATAAAAAATGCCTGCAAATACTTGTACAAGTTTCAAAAATGCTCGTAGATATACAGGAATTATATAGGAGGCATGTTTATCACAGACTTGCATGGAGCTTTCCTGTTAAATGAAATACTTTGAGCATTTAAAGAGCTGAAATGGCTGTTGCATGAAATTTAGAGTAACATAAAATAATTGCCCATACATAAATAGCTTCGTTTCTGGTAGTTTTTTTTGTTGTTTTTTTTTCATATTTGTCTCTTCCCTCGCTGCCCAACCTCTTCTATAACACAGATACTTGACCTTGAGGTGACAATGAGGCTTTTATCTTCAGATCCAGAATACATACAAGTAAATCAGATTAATGAAGTCAGCATCAAAATATAACTAAACAGTTTTTTCTTCTGAAGTTCCTGCTTATTACGTTCTAAGACTGAAATAACATTTCCTTTGAAGATTAAATTACATTAGCCTACATCCTTTATGGTTCCACTTGTCATCCATAAGCACAAACATGAGCTGAAGAACACAAACAAGTTCACAAATATTCACACTGCTTGGCTCTGCTCTCACTCGAGATTTTTTATAAAGCCAAGATATTAAAAAAACAAAACAAAACAAAAAAAAAAACAGAGCAACTACTGTAAAGATGACTGATGAGCTTTTGCAAACGGATTTCTGCTAAATTGTAATACATAAACCAGCAAAACTGTTAATTATCACTTGATATAATTCACACAAACTCAAGAGACAAACTTAAAAGTTTTAACTTTATTATGTTTTGTTTTTAGAACCATGATAATGGTTTGAGACAAAAAGGGTAAATGCAAATAAAAATCCAATCAGGTATCCTTTTTTCCCCCCCTTCCACTCAAAATGTTGTTTTCATTGGTAGTAGTGACATTAAATTCAGATGATTTGGAAAGATCCCTTCAAATCAGTAACACAGCCTGACACTAACGAAGGGTTTGTTAGAAAGGCCGAGAGCCCTGTTTCTCCCTCATCCAGGTGTGGATCCTCTCCTTCAGCTCAGGCACTGCAGGAGTAAAAAAACAAAAAAAACAAACATAAAAACAAACACTTCAAGTCAACAAATTTGAAAAAGCGTAAAAGTTGTTTCTTCCAACATTCGAGAACGCTTTTACTATTCTTGGTCGTCCAACAAAGACCCATCATGATGATGTTACCTGACTCCAGCATGCTCTCTGTGAGGGGCTGCCTGTTGAAGGGATCAGTGGGGGAGTTCAGCAGGTGGCGCAAGATGATGGATCTGTCCATAATGTTCCCAGAGGGCAGCATCACCGGGTCAGTCATCAGAGTGTCCATCAGAGGGTCTAAGGTAGTATACAAGTAAGACAAGATTAGGAGAAAAATATAGTAAACTTTTTTGAATTACACTTTTTATTTATTTTTTTTTAATTCTGAAATGCAACAGGAAATTTATAATTTTTAAATTCTAAAGTTTAGAGCCTTTTAGTTTGTTTCCACCACACAGCCTTCAAATTTGTTCACCAGTTCAAACTGTGCATGAGTTTAGAACGAGGCAGGTCGTCTAGTTTTAACCAAACACCAAAAAATATGGTATTTAAATATAAAAACAATGAATGCTGAGTGCAAATTACCCCCCAAAAAATCCATCCTAAACAGCTGAACAGGTGCCTTAATATGAATATTAGTTCACCTAAGAAAACAAATGAACCAAATACCCAATAAAAACTTATGAGTGCCCCCTATATATTGAAATGTCACAGAGTTGTTCATGTGAATCCTGCAGGTTACAAAAATAAAAAATAAAAAAACATGCCGTGCGATATCGTAACGACAGACAGCTGTTACGCCCGTGTCCTGGACGACACACTCCCATCAACTGTGGTGGGCTGGCAGGCATATCTGGGAATCAAAGCTGGTATGCAGACCGCATTCTCTTTGTGGATTATATTAAGTCTGTGGTTACAGGATAGCTTTGCTCTAAGCTGTCTATATGATCCGTATGAGCTGCCATAACCTGCTGCAAATGTCTGGAATTCAATGAAGACCTTCTCTGTCTACACTGACCTGGGGGTCACGCCGAAGCGGCTGTTTCCCCTGAGGGCAAAGGTTAATTTACGCACTGAATATGGATCGCAGAGTTCTTACTCTGCATTTACATATTACGATGTATTGCTTAGGAACAACTCAAATTTGACATCGGAAAAAAAAAATAATAAAAATTGTGCTTCATTTACTTGATGTCTTGAAACATCTAGGATTCATCCTTCCAGTTGATTCTATAGTAATTTCTTATAAAGTTTGCAACCGTCTTGTTTATATCCTTAAATATTTTAAAAAATCCTAAGAAGATTATACTTATAAAACTTGATTTGTGGTTCTTTGGGTGGAGTCAGTTTAGAAGTAGGGATTTATAACTTGAGTTATATAATCCACGTTATATTCTCTGTCCAGACTTTATTCTTTATTGAAAGGAAATAATTGTAGAATATGTGCAAAATGCAGAAGACTGAGAATAAAGTACTGATTTTGCTTTGTAACAGTTACTAAACACCCAAATATTAGCTTTGCTGATTGGAGAAACGGACCTTTGAACTCATCAGGTGCGTCACTGTAGTCCATCTCTGACTGGGAGTTCTTGGCGACTATTTCTTCCACCTTCTCGGATAGCAGCTTGAATTTCTCAATGGCAATAGAAGACTTAATACCAGCCTTTCTCATCTTGGAAATAACCTCCTCAAAAAGCTCCCGGCTGTATGATCGCTGCAAAGAAAACAAAGATCCACAGCAGTCTGTTAATGATATTGTGGAAGAGGAAAAGCTATCGCGGGGCCACGACTTTGCCAGGTATAAGAGTAAACATTTTCAATAGAAATATTTCCAAATAAAACACTATGAATTTAGTCTCTGAATCAAAATCTTTGATGCGGTCGGCGCCAACCTGGTCATCTGCAATCGCTTTAGCAAAGCGGGCGCAATCCAGTTGAAGGTAGATGTCTGTCAGCTGGTCTAAGAGCTTTTTGGGCTCAAAGCCGTATTTCTCTGGGTTCTCCACCTTCAGGTCCCGGCACTTGGGCCCACAGAGCTGCTGAAGGTTAAAGTTCAGCATAGCAGCTAAACGAGGTCCGAGCTCCTGTGCGGAGAAAAGAGGACGGGCTCAGAAATATTGTCTGGTTTGAAATCACCGAGTCAGGCTCATAATTTCAACTTTATTGCAAACAATTAGTTCCTTTTTATGGAAACAGCTTCACTTAATGCATGGAGTGAATCTTGTGGGACGTGCAGAGGAAGCAGCAACACTCACAGGCCTGAGGAAAGGCTTCTGAACCTGCTTGGTTAGGATGTGGAACATTTCAACCGTTTCTGTAGCCAGCGCCAGATAAGAGCGAGACACTCGCTCATCCTGAGTCAGCTGGGACTGGCGGCTCTGCTGCTGCTCCTGGAAGTTTGAAGAAGAAAAAGAAAAACTGGTCGAATAAACTGTGCCTTAGCATATCTGGTGCCATGTTTTGAAATTCAGAATAAACATGTACGAAAAAAATCCATCGATATTACTGCAACATAGCAGGGAGCTCTTGATTTAAAAAAATGATAAAAAAAAAAAATAATAATAATAAAATGGAGTACAGACTCTGGGCAGCTGATCCCACTGCTCTTTATTCTTCATCTCTTCCTGAACTTCATGGATGCGCTTCAGGGACTCAAGGCTCTCGTCTAACAAGAAGGTGGTGTCGTTAATCAGCATGTTGATGTAGCGCACAAACTGCTTGCCAGAGCTGGGGGAGAGGAGACGAGATACAAGCGCAAATCAGGTCGGAAACACCCAAAATGTCTCAGAATTGAGCATCAACTGTTTATTTTTAGTCACGTGTCAATTTTTGCAATCGACAAACTCACTTGAACTCCTCCATGAAGGTGCCATGGTGGGCAATGTTCTGCCAGAGACTCTTGAAGATGGTACTGATATGGTACCGTATAGTGAACTTATCGTAGAACTCGCTGGTAGCACCAGTGTGCTCAACATCTAAAGAGAAAAATGCAACGATTTAGTGAAATACTAAAGAGGAACATCTACATTTGTACAAAACCTGGATTTAAGTTTCTTTTTTTTTTCTTTTGAAAGTACACACGATTCAGTTGACTAAATATTGTGACGCAGCTTTGTTTTTAACATTCGAGCTCACAAATTAGGAATAAATTATGCACAATGGAGAAGTTCAAAAGAGAAATAAAGTAGAATTTTGTCATTAGAATGGAAAAAGAAAACTCATTCAGTTTTAGAAGTGGTTGTTTAGGGTTGTCGACCTGCTGGAAAGTCAAAAAGAGTTGACAAGTACATTAAGCAGAAAATGTAGAGTCCAGCTAAGCAGCAAAACCATTTGTAAAAATGATCACCTATGTTACAAACAAAAAGATTTAGTAACTGTTCGAAGCGAGAAGGTTGATTAAAATATTTTCAAAGCTGATATATTGACTAATGAAGAGAAATATGAATAGATTAAAATCTATAGATACAGAATCCACAGGTCAGAAATCAACTCCATCCATCTTCATGATAACCTAAAAGCGTATGCTGCCACCATTGTAAACAGATACAGATATTGCACAAGTAGGATTAGTCACCATACTAAATATAGGAGCACACAAACGGGAAAAACTCTTCAGTCACAAGCAGACAGTTTCAATGTACAGAGGATCAGACCCACCAGTGTAAAACTTCATGAGAGCAGGGACCAGGTGTTTGATGGACAACGGGTGGTTCTCCATCATTTCAGAGAATCTCTGAGTGCGAGGCTGTACAGCAGGGTTGGTGACAAACAGCACTTCCACCAACTTGGCTATAAGGTAGGGGTTCCTGATGTAGTGCTGACTGCAGATGAACACGACCAAGAAGGTGACAACGTCCTGGACACACGGCTCATACAGAACCTGGGGAGAGTACCTGCAAGGAATAAAGGGGCAGTAAAGAAGGGAATTCTCTAAAGTACTGCGTGCTGAAAAATGCTAATTATTCACACAGGTGCAATAAAACTTTGCAATGGAAATAAAATGATTTCATCCAGTTTTATTACGTCTTAAACATGTGAAGGACTTACTGCACGACAAAAAGCAGAAACTCTGCCACGTCTTCAACGTAAAACTCCGGCAGAGCAGCAAAGCTTTTGGGAATCTCAGGGTTCAAAGGAAGGGTAATGCTGAAAAAAGGAGAACATTTTGTGGCGTAAAGTTTATTTTTGAAGAATGGCAGTAGAGACAGGGAAAAAAAAAAAAGATAAAAACAGTTGTTCTTTTTCTGTTAGCATCATGCCAAACAGTAGCATGGTCAGTCGGTGGTATGCCGACTCACTTGGGGTAGGCCGGGTCCACCATGCGAAGTATGAGCTGAATGACTGTGCTGTAAAACTGCAGACATCTGCGCAGCAGGTTCTCGTCCAGAAGGCCCACGTCAGCGCACGCTTTGGCTCGCACCAGTTTCTGACAGGACAGTCAGACATGATAAGCATCATGTCTCAGGAAATACGTTCCCTTGCATAATCACTTATTTGTCAGCTTTTCAGCACACAGAACAAGTACGAGTGTCCAAACGGAGTCAATTCTGACGGCAGACAATCCTGGCGTGTCTGTGCCTTTAAGCCGGTCCCGAGGATTGGATCAATATATAGCAGACAGAGGGTAAGAGAATCTACCAGGACTGACCTTGAGCTGGGTTTTACATCGCTTCAGCATTTCTCTGTGCCGACTAGCCAGGGGAGAGTCTTTCCATTGGCTCTCACTGTTTTTCAGCTCCTCTACAGTCCTAAAAATGTGAAACGAGGTTATAAATAACTCGCTGGATGAATAAGTTATAATCATTCGCCATGTACGAACTACCTGTTGAGTTCACGGATGGCGCGCAATCTGCGGATGTAGCGCCGACAGCATGGCAGGATGGACAAGTGATGAGTGTGAAGTGTCAAGAAAAAACACTCGGTGGGGAACTTGGGCTCTGAGAACTTTGAGGGATCCTCATCTGATGATGTTCACACAGACGAGAAAAAAAACAACCCATTATACTTATTTACATTCTTTTTCAGCCAAAGGAATTATCTCTGCATCCTAAATAAAGAACAGAAGGTTGTATTTATTTTATTTACTTTGGGGTTTGACAATCCACGCTAAAAGTATTTTTTTCCTTTTTCTCTACTTACGCAGCTCAGCCATCCAGCTCTTTAGCTCCTCCATGGTGGCTTTAAGACGAGTCTCTTCCAGGCTGACGACAAGGCGACACCGCGGATGGAAAATGTAGTATGGGTCCACTGTCTCCAGTTTTATCTTCATGCTCAGCTGCTGCAGCACCCACAAGAAGTTGAGCATGAAGCCATCTGTCGACACCAGCTTGTCATCGGTCTGAGAGAAAGAAAATGGCAAATGTCGCTCAAAAAAACCTCGTCAAAACCTGAGTTTTACCGAGAGGCATATTACGGGTGCAAACTTTATCTTTGCAGTTTAATTTTTCTTTTGACACAAATCAGAAACTCAAATATCATGCTCAAGCTGCTGTTGTATGAATAAAGGATGCGCGCCGCGTACCTGCATCTGAGCTTTCTTCACATTGTAGTTGACTAGAGCTGCCATGTAGTTGAGAGCTAACTCGCGCGTTTCTCCGTTCAGCAGAATATTATGGAGAACTTTGAAAAGGTCACCCTGATGAAGGAAATAAATTATTATGATAAGAGATTAAGATAAGTAAAAGTAAAAAAATAAATTAATTAATTAAACAAAAACATGTGAAGGCTCACCCTTGCTGACTCCAGATAGTGCTGCAACGACTGGCTGACAACTCGGGTGTTCTCCATGGTGATGGCTGGGCCAGAGAAATACTTGTCCCCTACTTTGGTCTAAACAAGGGAACAAGCAATTTTTGTTCAAAGTCCCAAAGGTTTTGGGAAATGATGGCAAAAAAAATAATAATAATAATTATATATATTGCAAGCGTCTGAGCCTCAGTGCATGGAACATAAATACTTAAATATTTATTCTGTATTCACGGTGAGGATTTCGAGTACAGTGATATTGCGATTATTAGACTTTTGATACATTGTGGTGAAATTATACAAGTTGAATGTGCAACTTACATCATCCTCTGCAAATACTGAAAGGCTAAAGAACGCCCCAAGGTAGGATAATCTCTGAATTTCTCTGCCACAACCAGGGCTCAGAGGTTTGGGACACCACAGAGGAAGTGATGTTGCCTACACAGAAGAAGAGGAGTGACAGATTTACATGTTACACTAAATAATAAACAACAAACTCTGGGCTTTTTTCCAACCAAGAGTTTTCTGGGTATTACTATAATAGTAGTAGTACTAATTCCCTTTAGAGTATTTAATTGTGCATTGTGAGTTAATAAATAAAAAATGTATAAAATTAAAAACCAAGAATTAAAAATTAAATTGATTTGCATTTTTCATTTATATCGTTCATTTAAAAAATAACTTGATAACTTCAGTCATAGAAAAAAAAGTATCAAGGGAGGGTTTCAAATTACTTCTACATATTTAATTGCAATAGAAAAAACATTTGTCGTTATTAAATTAAATGCACACAAACAAACAAAAAAATCTATCTTATAGCTCTGAAAAATCATACTTATACTCACCAAGTTGCACACGGGATGAGTCTTTCCAAACTTAATTTCACAGAGCTCAGCTAATGCCTGTAAAAAAAATAAACAATCTTTGACTTCTTAAAACTTAAAAAGAAATATTAAACAACTTTAGCATTAAGTATTAGTCATCCGGCAGTAAACATCAACATTTCAGCAGAACAAGGCGAAGGCCGTGAAAGGACATTTCATTATTTCATCTAGATGACATAAAATGATATGTCAAGTAGAAAAGCTGTCACTCAGGCTTTTTTGTGTGGCTTCTTCTCTCTTTGCTGCCAATTGTTCTTTCAAAGTCTTTGACATTTCTCCCTTTCCGCTCTGCAGGCTTCTGTCTTCTTACCATGAGGGGGAATTTAAAGTTGTCGCTGTCAAAGGAACATTCTTTCACTGCCAGAGCGAGCCCATGGAGAATGGGAATGAAGATCTGGAAGACATGTTTGGAAATGCCAGTGTTAATTAGCACCGCAACTTTTAGGACTTGGAGATTTGCATTTCTGTTGTTGGCTTCAGAGACGTTCAGAAGATTCTCTCATTATTTACATTTATAAACATAAAGTACAACTATGAAACAGAATGAAATCATTCTGCATTGTTAATTAAAATGTAAAACACAAAATATGGTATTGTGGTGAGCCGACTTTCCTCTCGGCTTGCATCATTGCAGACTTGAAGCTTATTTGTAATTTTGATAAGAGTTTGTAAAAATAAATAATTTACTGTTCGAGATCAGGAAAACATCTAACGGTGATATTAATGCTGAATACTGCTACGAAAATATTAATCATGAATAACCTACATTTTTCTATCTCTCTGATATATGACGACCATTGTCATTCAATATTTCATCTTTAATGTGATTTATGCTTTCTTAGTAGTTTATTAGTGGAAGACACAATCCATGAAGACATAAAGTAATCACTAGTTTTTTGTGTAATAACGATGCAATTCCAGTAGATGATTTATCTTTAAGTCTGTATTTTGCAACATGTCTCAGGGATCACTGTAGCCGAGTTTCTACTATGCAAAAGCGAAGGAGTTAGTCCCAGAACTTTGTATTTTACACTGCCAGATTTTCCAGAACCAGGCTGGTTAGTTAAAATACAGTTTCTACTTTAAAAATATTATGACACTTTGGAGGTGAAATAGAGCCCCTTTAAGCTATACAGCAGGAATACTTGTTATTGCTTGCAAGCGCAACTTTCAAACTCTAGAAGAAGGCTGAGAAGAGTCAACACACACAGCAGCCGAAGAGTCCAGACTGCGATTAAAACACAGTGGAATCACACCGATACAGCATTAATCTCAGACTCTTCTATCAGCGTTACAGCTTAGCAACTAAAGTCACTCAACACTTTACAGAGATATTTCACTGTATCAGATTATATGTGATCTGCTCTGATCCTGGAGTCTCGTTCAGCTGCTTGGTGTCTGGGAGACGGTAGAAACAAAAAGGAGGGACCTCCAGATGCAAAAATAAAAAGCTGTCATTTTCAGAAATACAGTGGAACCTCCGAATACAAACACACCTGAATATTTTATTCGTAATGCAGTTTACGCATCTATTTTGGGTAGCATAAATCTCTGCAGTTATAAAGTAATCAAATTTCTACAAACATCTCAAAGTGCAAGAACATGCAGATGTCAATGTGCTTTCATGTTGACTGCAACCCAGGAGAAAATAATGCAACTTCTACACCAGCACAAATTGCATTATTGCCTTCCGCACTGACCAGTTAGTATGGAAAGCCACTGTTGCCAAAGTTTTCATACATTTTGGGCCCGGAGCAGAATCTTCTTGGATAGAAAGCAAAAGCACACCATGATGTCTTTCCTTCAACAACAATGAATTGTTTGTGTTTTTTTTTTGTCCTTTCAAAAATCATAAAAAAGTTTATATGTTATGATTCATGCTTTGAAGACTCCCAGCAAAGGAGTAATATCGGAAAAATTGAAAATGACTATGATTTTGACTGCCGGGCATGTTTTACTGTAGCGTTGGGTATCAATTATTTAAGTTTCAGTGGGGAACAGCGTCTCAAAAAATATGTTTTAGATGTAAACTGCATATTGGAACCGGTTACATTTGTATTCAGAGGTTACACGGTAAAACTATAACTCGTGATTCTGCCAGAATGTCTGAAATAAAATGGCAATCTGGTCACTGAACACAGAAGGCCGTGCTCCCCACCTGTTTGAACACTTCCTCTTCCTGGTGGGTGATGCGCACCAGCTCCTGAATAAAGCCATATGGAAGGTTCCGACACAGCATGTAAGGTACCAGCAGAGACTGTTGGAGGGGGCTCCTACACGCAGTTAGAGGAGACAAAAGATAATTAACCTTCTCCGGATGCAAGGAGAAAGAGCAGTTGCTATGGAGACAAAATAAATAGCTGAAATGGAAAAAAGGGAATGGCTTCACTCACCGAGGCTGAGTCAGAGCCCCCTGCAGGACAAGGGCAACATGGGAGATACACTGAGAGCGAATGTTACTGAGAAGCTGGCTGACATTTGGTTGGCTGCACATCTGGAAAAATAAACAAGATACATTATTTCCCTGGTTTTGAAATGGGAACGAGAAGATGGATTTCACAGAATCAGATCAAGAAAATACATTTTTAAATAATGTTCTTTTGAACAAGACTGGAGCTTATCAGAAATAAGACTTTAGCGTCAGTCGTCATGTCACACTTATTCAGGAAAAAGATCCAAAAATGAACAATGTTTTAATGCATCCTCTTAAGTCAGTTTTCTTACTCGTCTGGAGATAAAGACACAAGTACAAGGAATCTCCTCTTGCAGACAGTCGCCTACCTTGGGAGCTTTCCTCTCCTCCATGCCAACGCTGTCAAAACGCTCAATGAGGTAGTTCAGCATCTCTGTCTCTTTGCATGCTTCAATGGTGAAACGGTCGCTGGCTGAATCGCATGACATCCCCCCTCCACAGGCACCCAGACTACAAACAGACACATGAAACACAGAGAGAGGATTGTTGGAGAACAGAAGAAAACCCTGCTGTGTTCGGGAGAAGGTCCATCACATCAAACCATCACGTCAACAAACGCAAAACTCTGAAGGATCCTGCGAGGAAACAAGCTTATTAAATAGCATCGCAAGTCTCACCAGGGCTTCCAAAGGGGGACAAAAAGGGCTTAGAAGAGTTCAAATTATTAAATTGTTTGCAGCAAATCCTTGCAGGCAAAACTCACCTTTATCCGAGTCTCATGTCATTTCATTTCATTTAGGCATTTATTAAAACAATGAAGAGATAAAAGCTCAAACTGCTGTTAGTGGTCAGCTGCAACACGGTACGAGTGGCTTCAAAGCCTATTATGTATTATATGAAACTTGGTTATAAACATGCAACGCGTCAATAAATCACCACTCCTCTCAAATATAATGTATGATAATACCCTAAAACAACACAGCTTTGTCAGGTTATAATGTGTAAAACCTAAGAACAAAATGTTGGCAGTTCAGGGATGCTAACTGTGACTGACAAACTATCTAAATCTGTTAGCCAAAGCTGCAACAAAGTAAAACGGCACAATAAGCCACAAAAAATGTCAAAATCAGAAGATTTTCCATCTAATCCCACCTGAGATGTTCTTTAATACTTACCACCTACATAAAAAGAAACGTTTAATGAACCATCTAACAGCTGGACGACCATCAGCTTCTGTGTTCTGAATCGTATATTTGCACAACCCTAGTGGTAAACCTGCCGGAGCCACTGGATGGACCATGCAGTGAGCACATCCCTGTGCAAGCGTGCACACACACGCGTCAACACACACCGAGCACTGGTGTACCTGGACCCAAACTGAACCTGTGCAAAATCCTCCTCCTCCACCACCTCCTCCTCCTCAGACTCTTCATCACTGCTGTCTTGAGACATGTCAGAAAGGGCAAAAAACAGGAACGACAAGGGGCTGACAGGACGAGAAAAGGGAAGAGGTGAGAGAAAGAATGTATGGACAGGAAGAGACAAAAAAAAAAAAAAAACTAATGTGGAACATGGATACATGGAGGAAAGTAGGACAAAGAAAACGGTACAGCTCTGTAAGTCCTACTATGGATGTGTACTTGTAATGTTTTGAAATATTTAAGCTTTTCAAAGTGCAGCTTTAACACAATGAGACAGCCACCCCCAGAAGCTGTCTTATTGTCCCACTATAGTGAGACAAGGACACTTTAGCTAGATCCCACTTAAAAACTTTAGACACATTTAGAAATGGATTCATCAGATCCAATTCCAAGAGTCGGATAGTCGGATAATTTATATGCAAAACGGTCAGGAAGCCTTACTGCATTAAACTCCTGTCTGATTTTATGTCTGCCTCGCTCTAAACAAGCTGTTTGTGCAGCCTATATTTAAAAATAATACCATTAAAATTAAAAATGGAATATGTGTGTAATGACAATGGTCCCAACATTTTCAGCATAACATTTGCTTGTTGGACCCAGTAACTTTTATTACCTAGCTCTTTGCCATTAGTGACCAATAAATCTCTAAGTTGTTCACTGATTTATAGAGCAGCAGTAAAAATCTTCAGCTAAAACGATCAGTGATTTGTCTGAGTGAAAAGTAACAAAGCAGGCTGAGAAGAGAGAAAAGAAAGTCGGCCCAACTTATAGATCAACACATCCTATGCCTAACATAAAACTGTGGGATTTGCAAAACAAAATGTTGTGTGTGTGTGTGTGTGTGTGTTTTTTTATGTGTTTATTGACTAGATCACGCCAAACACACATACAAATGACAGATGAGATACCTAGATGATGGGATCCTGGCAGCAAAGGCAGCCTGTCGAGAACTCAGTCTGGGAGAAGGAGGCACCACAGGAAGGGTTGGGGAAGGGGGATGGCTGCCTGAGCTGGGCGAGCTCAAATGAAGGGACTGGGGGCTTAAAGGCGTTGCCGGAACCGGGGTGTTTGGAGGAACGGAGGGCGCAGCTGGGCTGGGAGAAAGACCAGGGAAACTATATCCTCTATAAACTGGGCTCAGGGGGGAAGAGGCCACCCAGGGAGTGGTGACAGAGTATGGTCGATATCTCTGAGAGATGGGCATGGGGGTAGATGACGGATTGAGGGAGTGCCTGGTACCGGCGGTGGCAGGTGGGCTGGGGGGAACTACAAACTGTGGCGTAGAGGGTGGAGCAGGTGCAGCGGGGGTAGAGAGAGACGGGCAAGTCCTCTCTGCTGCATTCAACGCCATTGGATGAGGACTATTCCACCCATCCAAACTGTGGATAGCATTGATAACAAGATCATCATTGGCAAAAAGGCTCTGTTGACAATCAAACCAGGGCAGAAAAAAAATGACAAGAAAATCCACAGAGGAACTTCATGGAAAAAAAAAAAGAATCAACAATCTAGTTGGGTTTCTAGAATATACACAGTTCATGTGCAAAAAACCGTGAATCTGGGTATTTACCTGGAGAGAGAGCTGGCTCCAAAAGACCCAGCACTGGGGCCCATCGGGCTGCCGCCTTGGCTAGAGGGCTGCACCAGCGTCAGCCGGTGGTCGGAGGATTTCGCTGCCGCAATGGGCTGAGAGGTGGCGGTCAAGCTGGCGAACGGGTTGTGGACATTTGACTGGGATGACATCATTAAGACTTCCATCAGGATCTGGCTGATGAGGTCTTTGAAGTCAGAGTACACTGCAAGATTCACAAAAAGTGCAGCAAACAGCTTATTAAAGGCAGAAATAACAAGTAGCTGTTTTTAATTTACAATAAAGTAACTGCAGTTGTAATGGGAACACACAGACAGAGACGGGTCAGAAAAATACCATCTTTAGGGTTCTGATGAAAATCTGCAGCTAGCGAAGGGAGAAAGATGACATCTCTGTCCTGCTCCTTCCACGATACGCGGAGGATCTTACAAATCAAGTGCAGAGCCTGATCTTCAGAGACATCAGAGTTTGCAGAAGTTTCCTGAAAAAGCAGAGGAAAGCTTTTTCACTGACTAGAATCGCTCCGGTTGATCATGCTTCCAGGAATCAAAGTAACCAAAAGTGAAACAAAGAAAAGCAAACAACCGTGTTTAATCTGAAGGTCTAGACAATAATGTTACGTTAAAGCCCTTTACCTTTTCAGTCAAGTTTCTCTTCTCCCTGCGATCGCTGTCCTCCACCTCCATGTTCTCAATCCCTGAGTCCACATCCACCTGGGACATGCTGAAGAAGAGAAAAGGCCAAATGCGTTAAAACTCAGCAGGCTTCTGAATGTCATACTAACATTTTGAGCCAGTTAGTTTATCCCAACATTCCCATTTCTTTTCCAGATGATTAATAAAACATTTTTACAGCTATTTCTTATATCAACAAACAGTATCTTACAGGAATACTGTAGAGAAGGTCAATAAAAAAAAAAATAAAAAAAACTTTACCTCTTTTCACAGGAGGCAGGGTCAATGTCCATGCTCTGCGATCGAGACAAACTCTGAGACTGTGTCTCGAGGCTGTTGGAGGGGGAGCTGGAGAGGGAGCTTACACCTTCGCTGCTCTGACTACCATATGCCACCCCTGCAGGAACATTAGTCAAAAAAAGCACAAAATTATTAATATACCTGCCATATTTCATTTTAAAAATCAGAATTCAACCAATGAGTTTACTTCTGACAGAAAATGAGGTCGGCATCTCTCAAAAGATAATAAACAATGTAAAAGAAGCGCTAGTTTTGACAGCTGTAATTCAGCTTCATTTATATTTTATCAAGAAAAAAGCAAAAGGGTGTCAAAAATTATTATCAACCAAAAAAAAAAATATATCTTTGTTGGCAATGAATTCCTTTTTATAATTGCAGGTTTCTAGTGGTACTTTGACAATTTAGCCTTTGGTGTTGAACTCCACGTCTTTGAGGTCAGAATGCCTCATTGCCGTTTCCCTAATCCTCAGCTCTCCCCACAGACTCTTTATCAGACTGAGGTAAGGCGCCCTTTGGCTGGGCCAACATGAAATTTACATTTTTTCAATCAAAACAAAAACATAAACAACATTTTACAGATTCCTTTACATGATTCTTCCAGGGGTATGAATAATTTGAGGCCTAACTGTAAATTTAAACATCTGAGGCACAACAAAATGTGTCAGTAGCCTGAACATTTTTTTTTTAAAGCTATACGCCTAAGAAGCGAAGAAAGACGGAGAAAGACAGGAGGATTCTGTCCTTGATCGGTTGGAGAAGACTAAAAGTGTAAGTGTATAAAAAGCAAAGTAGCTGCCAGAGTTAACCAACTCTGAAACCACAAGCATGTTTACTACTTTGCTTTTAAGATTTGCTCTGTGTGCAACAAGATTATAGGTCAGAATGACCCGAAATAAATTTAATGGTTGCTAGGAGGCTGGAATTATATTGAACATATTTATTGAATCATTTAAGCTACATCCCTTGGAAGCTTATCCAATAGCAAAGTAGAAAAGTAAAAATGAAATGTGTATTAAGCGGTATTAATGGCTCCTTTAAGCAAGTTTAGGTAGCAGAAAGCACAACCAATGTCTACCAAGAAAATGCCAGGAAACGTATGTGTCCATATGCGCAATAGTAGTGCAGAACATGGAGAAAAGCCTAAATTTCCCCTCTGCCCTGCCCTGTCTGCCCTTTATGTCTCATAAAAAGTGATCACAGCAAGCCCATTGTTATTCTATTTTCTCATTTTTATCCCTCAAATTTATAAAGGCTGCAATAATTAAGACTCCTTACAGAAATGTTCCTCAGACAACAAATTTTTATCCTGTGTGGCTTACAGAAAATATACCGCCCAGGCTTATTACAGACAAGTACAGGGGTTGAGCAAAAGTTCACAAAATATGGTGCTACACATATAACTGTAAGATGATAATGTTTAACCCAAAACACTTCTGGCAGTTAAAGTCATCAGAATAAAATGCCTGAGCGCAGCCATAACCAATAAACTTTGATTACTCACCAGAGGTGCCCATAGGAGATGTGGCAGGGGTACCACTGTGGACATTGAGACCCAATGATTGAGAGGCAGCTGGTGGTACAGGTTGGGGTGAGACACCTGAGGGGCCAGGGAGGGGTCCAGGTGGAGTCTCTCTCTGTGGGGACGTGAGAGGGGTACTTAGGGGGGTGCTGGGTTGTGATGTCTGTCCTCCTGCCAGCCGTGCCAGCCGCCTTCTGCGAATCTGTAATAAAAAAAAAAAAGATAAATTCAGAGAAAGTGAAGCAGATATACACAAATATCCAGCCAGCTGAAATATTTTCAGGCAGTTTCTGATTAATTACACAGTATTACTGCCTATTCGTGATTATTATAAGGTATGCTATGTGAACTTGAAGAGATAAGGTTTTATTTTTATCAAGTGGTTGTAAAGGGAGTAATAAGATAAGCAAAATGCCCAAGGTTGTGGGGCAATTGAGCAATGCCCTTGCCATTTGGCCCGTAAGTAATGACAACAATCAAGTTTTTATCTTCAAACCTCTTGACAGTGGGTACTATAAGGTAATGGTTAGGCAATGAGGAAATTCAGGATGAAGAAAACCTAAAGTGCTGCAGGATTCCTTAACCAAACCATTTCAGCAGATATTTGCACTTAACATGCACCAATTCCTACAGAAGATGTAAAAGTGACAATTCAGTAGTTTTTATTTTATTTAGTATTAATCTTGTTTTAATCTTACTGGAAGGTGTAATAACACCAAACATTCCAATTGTTTTCATTTTTTCAAATGTACCTAAACTTGAGAAATTATCAGATGAAATTATAGGAAACCTATATTTCTCAGACAACCCACTGTGTAAACTGCGGCTGGTTGTGTTGGACTGGAATGGAACTATTACTATATTTTAAGGTATTTACAATAAATGTAACTCTGTATAATTTTTTAAGCCTAAAAATTGTTAAAATGCGCAACATTTTAAACAGAGTCAGAACTTGGAGCTCAGAGGATGACAGTATATTTTCTGTATAGTAAACTGAGGTTGGAAAAAGCAGTGTATGTTTTGTCTGAGGTCTAAGGGGAGCAGCCCCGTCAACTCTACTATGGTGGTCCACTGTTTTTGTTTGTTTGCCCCTTTCTGCTGAGTCGTTTCGCAAACACTGTTAGCAAGTCAATGCTAATAGCAGTAAGAAATTTTACCGTTGGAAGACGTGAAATAACACAAACTTAAAACTAAAAAAGTATCCATGCTACAAGTGAAAATGACCAGTTGTATAAATAAGTCTTTCGCTGAGTTTATAAAAAAAAAAATAATAATAAAAATGTTAAAAAAAACACCGTTAAGCACAGCTTGAGAGCTACCATTAACCAGTTAGCACTGTGCTCCTGCTAAATGACACGGCACAGGCAGTTACACGACTCTCCACTGATTTCTTCTACATAAAACTTCAATTATGAATTTACGTTATTTAAAAAAAATTAGGAGCAGAGTTGTTCAACTCGGGTTTAACTGTCTTTCTAATAAACGAACTGTAGAATCAACTGAGCGAGTGATTCCTTCCTTTGACGTTAAGCTAACATCTCTGTTACATTTTGTAGCAACTAAGCTCGCTCTACAACTCCTAAAAGCTTGCGAGATGAAATGTTAAGACTGAAAATAACATCAATGTAGTGAAGCTTCGCTCCATATATATTCAGTGCATTCATCCATTGTCACCTTACCTCGTCTGCGCTCAACTCCTCCATCCTGGCAGCTAAGCCAGCTAGCTATTTCACTTTCAGTTGCTTCGGAGTGCCAGCCAGAGCCAGCTAGCTAGCTAGCTTCGATTAGAACTGAATATGCATAGTTTAACACGTTCAACGAATAGGTGTCAATCTTGATTGTCGCCAAAGTAAAAACTAGGACACCGATATATGGTAGATGGCGAGATGCAGATCTTGTAAAGCGTCTCTCGATTGGTAGATTTTCTACCGAGAATCAAACAAAAAGAAAAGTAGCTAGCTATTATATACGTCAAAATACAACAGCGGCCATTTTGGCTCTACTCCAAGTCACGTGACCTCAGAGAGCTCAGGAAGAGTGTTGCGTCACTGCGTCGAAAATATTGTTTGGGCAGAGGCGAACTGGAGGAGCAATCTAGTACTTTAATGTATTTTAATCTAGTAATCTACTGATTATTTGTGTATTTAGGTGTGCATTCTTAGTTATGGCAGAATCGGTCCTCTATAAACATTAAGTCTGCACCACCGTTTTCTTTTCTTTTTTTAATTTTTTTTTACGTAGATTTCGCCTTGAGTTATGAACAATAGCAAGACACTTTTTTATATAACTCTAGCTTTCGCGCAGATTTTCAAATTAAACCTTTTTACCCAAGATTTTTACACGAGAGAGGACTTGGGCAACTGAAAAAAATAATTTTGGCTTAATCTCTAAGATTAAAGTGATCTCTTTGTTCCTCCAAAAGTTGCCTTTTTTATTTAAATTTAATCAAAAATGCTTTATTAATCCCAAGGGAAAGCTAAGTAATGCAATTCAAATTAATTTGAAATCAGGATGATTAAAGTCAGAATTCTAACTTTTTTCAACAGCCCTATTTTGAGCAACCACAAACCTTAACATATTTATTGCCATATTAAGCACAATGAGTTGCATATCTGAATTTGGAGGAAAGTGAGACATCCGTTTATAAAATCAAATATTTGAAAAGTGTGGCATGCATTTGAGGTTATCCCACTGAATCAATATTTCAAGTCTATTTCAAATCTCAATCCGCTAGAGGCCTGAATAATTTTGGTCTTAACCACATAGAAAGTAGATATACAACTCTTAACTTCCCTTTTTTTGATGGACAAATATCACAAATTACAGCTTTTATTTAAACAAAATTTATTGAGCAAATTTCAAATCGTACAAAAAAAGTATCTCAAACACATTTTAGTATATCTTACATTTCTTTTAAAAAATATTCACATGAATAAGAGTTGTACAAATAAAACAATAAATGCAAATTGCACAGAACAACTCTCAAGGAGGAATTTCGAACAAGAGAAAAACCAAAAGTACCTTTAATCTGTTTTCAGCCAGCTGAAAAGTTATGAAACAATCCCGATGCTTCATCCTATAAGCTTGAATGTAGCTTCAGTATGCAGTGTAAAGCGGTGTAGTGGTGCCATCTAGTGGCGTAAGTTTATATCTACATTTTTTTCCTGATCTGAGCACCCTGATAGGCCTCGACTCTAGACTGGTGTAGCTTTCTTTTCTTCAGGGTCAGCAGTTGTGGATCGGACGCATGCTGTCCTCCAGCACTGAACGAATTCTCCTTTAACATCTCCTTCCTCTTTACTCGTTTACATTCTTCTTAAACACCTGCTTGCAGACTTCTCCATCACAGTGCAGTTCCTGAGGTGGACAATGTGACATAAATGTTTAGTGAATATGAAACACACGAAATTAAGACAAGTTGAAATTTCTTTGCAATTTCATTCCTACCAGATGGAGCTTGTCGCCTTCGACCCAGTGAGCCCAGCCTCGGTTCTTCTTCTCTCCAACCTGCTCACACGTTAGTTTATTCCCCTGCCATGTCACTGTCGACTGCGCAGACGGAAAACAGGAGAGAAAAAAAAAGACGAGAGAGAATAATCAGAATGGGAGCAAAAAATTCGGTCAGCAGGTTTCATGCTTCATACAAACACCTGGGAGTGCTACGTTTACAACATCCATCCTCACCTTGATGTGCCTGTTGTCCAGTCCCTTTGTGAACTCCTCAAACACTTGACCGGTTTTGAAGGAGATGGCGTAGTTCCTGAAGGTGCTGAGAGTTTTGATGATATACTGGTCTCCCTGCTGCTCAATCACCTTTCTCAGCTTCAGCCGCAGGGCAATCTTTCTCAAATAAACACTGATACCTGGAATAGTAAAGGAATGTATTAGGAAAGCTTTTGCATACTCTTTGCCACATACAATAATAACCCTGGTGTAAAATCCCAGCTCAATTTCTCTTTGTATATTTGTGCATTCACAGCACAAACAGATTTTCTAGGTTTTTTTTTTTTTTTTTTTTAAGTTTTCATCCTATGGAGTATTTTTTAATTCAAACTCACCAAGTGCACTCATGTAGCCATCGAAGTTGACGTTGCTGATCATGTCCCATGTTCCACACAGACTGGCAGGCATGCTGATTTCTCTTAGCTTCCTTCTTCAGGGTGTTACTAGGAGCAAACTGGCGATCCCATGCAGATGAGCCTTAATAAATGCAGCTTTCAGAAAGTCCCTGTGACACACAGGTGGGTGTGTCAAACCCTCCTGTTTCTGTTGAAGTTAAGATCATGTGAGGATGCAGGAGGCACTCTCGTCAATACCAGGACAGTAATGGGAAGCAAAGACTTGTCAGACAGGTTCACTGTCAGACAACCTTTTAAGCTAGGCCTCAGGAATTAAAATACAAATGAAGGGAAAAAAAAAAAAAAAGACGTCATTGTTTACTGTCAGAAAATTACAGATATTTAGCTAAAAAAAATATGAGAATTTTGTAAATTAATTTCAGTACAATTGAAAATAATGTAAAATACCCTATTCTAGTATCATGCAACAACTAATTTAATGTTTTAATTTTGATTAACAATTAAACTGCAGCAAATCTCTCCTGACCTCAAACCAAATTAGGTTACATTGTTATCAATGTCATAATCACAACGGTCTACAGCAAAATGACAAACTTTTCTGTGCAGCAGCAAATTGAAATTGACAAGTAGACACACTGCAGCACAAAGTGTGGAAGAAATTCAGTTTTCAAGAAAACAAACATCACCTCGTTGTCTTGTCGGGTTTTTTTTGTTTGTTTTTTAATTAAAAAGGGCCTCCAGCGTTTTCCTGGAACGTTTTGCTGAGATGTTGTCCGTTCTATGAAAAAAAAAAAAAAAGTTTGGGAGGACGCCGCAGTTTTACTGCTCACAGCAATTTTTAAGAGAGTGGAGGCTTTGATGCAATCTTGGATTTCACACATTAATGCAAAGTTAATAATTTTCCTCTATGATGAAGTTAATCCTTTATTCTAATCAATCGCTTTCAAAATAATTATCTGTTTGTGTGATCGCATGATAACTTAACTTTCTCTAATCACACATTTTCTGAGGTCTGAGTGGAACTGAGCGTTGAAATATGAGCCATCGTACCTTTAACATGTTCTACAATCAATTAAATCAAAACTCAAGTGTACCTGAACATAAATTATTCCACCATGTTGTTGTATATAATAACACACACCAAAGCTGTCACTCTGATATTAAATGTGTTGTAAATGTTACCATTTGTATTTATTTTGCAGAAAAAGCAGAGGTCATTGTTTGTGGTCCCAAAAATGTAATGTTACATATCAGCGGTCAACTAAACTGAAATGGTTTGCACTTCTTGAGTGACTGAATCATGTGGACTCTTTGTGTTGTTGGGTAGGAGGCCTGTTGGCTCCGTGCTCCCAAAACTAAACAATTAGCCTTTAGTTCTCTTCTGCAACAAACCTCCTGAAAATTGATTCCCCCTTTAAAATTAAAAATATAGTTTATTGAAGTTAAAATGTACATTATCAGGTTCCATTATTGTTTAACTGAGATCCCCCCCCCCCCC